CGCGACTCGAAGACCAGTGCCTAGTCCGCTGGATTGTTCCAAGTGGAATTCAGATGGATATTTTCGGCGAATAAAAACCTTGTCTGAGGTTGCAAGGGGGGAGCAGGGAGTTAGCAACTTCTTGAACTCAGTTAAATCCAAAAGTAATCTTTCAGTGATTTTCACACGTGCAACATACGGACTCTGGGAGCCTGATTTTGTGCGAATATCTACAAATGAATTATGTGTAATTAAGGTGTTATGACTCCCTTAAACGTGCAACATCGGACTCTGGGAGCCTGATTTTGTGCGAATATTGACAAATGAATTATGTGTAATTAAGGTGTTATGACTCCCTTAAAACCCCAAAAACATCAGAAAAGACTGCAAAAAGTGTTCACACAATGTAAATTGTGTTACGAGTGGTTGAGAGATATACTGCTTGTCAATGAAAACAATGGCAAGGCCGATCGACTGATATGTATGTATGGAATGTATGTATGTATATAAGTAGGTGTGTGTATGGATGCATGTATGTATGCTAGTGTACGGATGTCAACGTGCGCATGTGCATATATTGCCCACAACGGTGCCATTGATGACGTTGTGTGACCATCGTTTTGCAGACCTAACCGAACGATAACTAGTACTGGGAAATGATAATTGGGTACTTAAGTAACGTCTGTTGAGCTATATAAGCGTATTTTTGGGCTCAACTATTGAGTGGCACCCATTTGAACGGACACATAAGCCACCACTCACGTATCCTGTCATCACTTGTTCATCTTCTAGTATTAGTTCATCGTGTTTACACCGGGTACATATCATTCATCTGCACCTTACTGCTGACCATTTTATGAGTTATTTACGATATACTAGTATACCGGCAGATACTGCTGATAAGGCACGCGATTAGCATGCGGTTTTGTCGTAACTCCACCTCGCGTCTAACAGAATGTCGGGTTTATTAAGGAACTTGTGGAACTGATCTTCAGCATTTGTTTACGCTTTCATGCTAGTTAATGAATATCCACGACAGTTCAAGCAGACGCAAGAGGTGTCCAACTTATAAAACCAGGGTTCATGTGAGAAGTTTACTTTCTTGATCAATACTTTTAACTGTTCAGTTAGTGTTTGGTAATAAAGAACTTCACGGCAAAGGGCTTTCATCGTTACACCAGTATGCTTCGGTTACGGATACACAAGTCCGTTAAACATTTGAATTACCTGTTTTCTAGGAAGTGGATTACCCATGAGGGAAGTTCAAAACATCCAGGTAGAAAGTAAATTTCGTTACTTCATGCGGAGGCGTGCAACTAAATTAAAAATAGTCAAAACCCTCACGAAGAAGCATACAGGTGGTGGAGATATTTCGTAAGGGAGCCTCCTCTAAGAACAGTGATGTACACATCTTGTTAACCTTGAGGTGTTTCTTCTTCCACTTCAGACCGCTTGTGAATCCGTTTTAGTACCATATCTGTCCCAATCATTATCCATCTCGAAACCAGTAATCAAAAGTCATCCCGGAGTCAACAGTTTTCCTCGTCAATTGACGTCCTCATGATGGCGTACAAATTCGTCCTGCTACTCAATGGATAAAGCCACCAATGATGAGTGTCGCTTGGACCAAGAGTTTATTGGTAGGTTGTTCTATGCTATATATATGCTATATGCTAAAAGATAAAAGTGTCCGACCAGTGCTCTCTGAGTTGATCGAAACACTTTTAACAAGACGCCCCTCGGACCCCGTTGAATATATCGCGGAATGGTACGCTGATATTTCAATCTGATCAATTTTCAAATACTCCATCTTCCACTTCCAGCCTTAATTTTTCGACAGATGAATCATTTTTGGATGGCATTTGCCAAAGACTTGCTAGCCTTCGGATCCCGTCACCTATGTTTGCCTTCGAATGCAACAAAGCATATGAAAAACTGCATGAACTAATTCGTGAGACCATATTCCGTTTGTTCCATCAATTTTACCTTTTCAAGTATTCCATATGATTTTATTTCAAACAGTCTCGAGGTCTGTAGGTCACATGACTACAGTTTCAAAATGTTTGACAGGAAATGAATGTTTTTCACATGGCATACATGGCAGATACATGCAGACTATTTATCACCATTTCTGTTTCAAATGATTTCCATCAATTTATTCCGTCCTACACGGTGGACAAATAATCTGTTTCAATTATTGCAGTGTTTTTGTCAGCAACTCAATGCGTATCTAATTACTACATAGAGCGCTCTCCCCGTTTGTAAAGGAATTGGTGTGAGGCTAGAGCAACGTTTCAAGTTAGCCCATCTAAATGTTAGCCTGGAAATTGAAATTCCGCAGTCCGTTATTCTTTTTGAGTCTATGAGATGCCAATTAAGGATGTCACTATTTCTTCTGTTATAAGCTAAGGGAATCAGAGCAAATTTATCTTACAATGGACAATGGTGAAATAAATCTGGGGTACTACAACCTGTGGAAGTGTAACGATTGCGTACAATACATATTTTATATAACTAAGTTGCTAGTAGTGGCGTATTTTCGCATGTCAACTGAATAATTCTGTTTTCCAGCCACGTTTCGTTTCAGATGTTGTTGCGAACCGATATGTTTGACCAGTTTTTGCAATCTATCACACTCTACATTCATTACACATGGCTTGTGAGTAGTTTTATTAGGTAAGGTGACATCTATGACTTTCTTGACACCACTATTGTGTTTGATGTGTATATTTTTCCAGGTGAATTACGACCGGCTCCACTGATTGGAGAACTGACTTCAAAGCTGATCCAGTGTTTACTCAGGTAAACAGCTTTAAATCATCTTGACTACTAATTCTTAGGTCAACATATGGAAAAGATCTACTTATCTCTCATCTGAAGCTGGAGAAACGCACTTATATTTCTTCAAACAACTTCAAGAGGATTTTGACATTAGCTCTGACGTTTCAAAGTTTGCAGATCTTACATCTCTTACATGTTGATAAATTTCTTAGATTTTAGCAGTGTGTGCGATCAGCTTTACCGAATCAAACACGTTTCACATATACGGATTCTTCGTTACATTGAAGATGTGATGAAATCTGACGACCAAAGGTAAATTTACCAGTTTTCCTAGTCTAGTTAACTCTAATCCTCCATGAATTGTTTCTCATCTAGAATAAAATTTCTGAGCACTCTCTCTTTGTTGAAGATAAGCACTAAATTTTGTTTAAAATTAACCACGACTGTCGCCAGTGACTAGGCAACATGAAGGATTACTCGTTTCAGGGAAGCTTGGAAAAACCATCGATCGATTCATTTTTTTGCCAAACCACTCAGTCCCAGACATTTTCTAGTTGATGAAGAATCACCGTTCAAAGTACTCCACGACCATTGGATATCAGCAGACCTAGGCATGATGGCAATACACCGAGCGTGATCTTAGTTTTTCTCCACTCCAAGACGCTGGCATCTCTTGTCAGTTCATCCAATGTTCAGTATTAACTTACCATGAAAACTCTTCTTGGTGGTCGTCCATTACCTGGCCATTGAGTTGGGAATGGATAGCCGGGTGACAAATCAACTCATAATATCAGCTTGTGGTACGTCAGCAAGAATGGCCGAATGTTGATTAGAAACTGGAGAAAAGAATTCGATTGATGGACGGTTTAGGTTGGATACACCGGTGACAAGCGAGTCCGATTCTACTTAGCGATGTGCATTCACACTTTGGACAGATCCAAATGGATAAAAACGGCATATGAGACGTTTACTTTCTTGATCAACAGTTTTAACTGTTCAGTTAGTGTTTGATAATAAAGAACTTCACGGCGAAGGGCTTTCATCGTTACACTAGTATGACCCCCTCCTGCAGGGTCACTCATCAGCTACTAGCTAGCCCGTGATCTTCCTACAGGAACGTTGGATTGGATAAACGTCTCACTTTTACAAAGGTTACTGAAAAACCCCGCAGATGTATTGTCTTCATTCGGGATAGTTTTTGCATGATTACGCGGCCAGGTGGTTAAAATTTTGAATGTTAAGAAAAGAGGTGCCCTTCATCCGGCTTCGCATATAAAATGCTCTTCGATACGCCCTGAATATTTATGGGCATTGATGTTTCAGTTAGTTAGCCTTTATTTTTTCTGTGCTCCACGTTGCTGATTGTGTGAGGTTCACAGTTAATCATTCATTCTCCGAAATTAATTTGTCTACACCAACTCCAACGGGAATTAATTATTTCCTATCACGCCTTCGTCCGAGACAGTCGGCTGCTTTCCCGCATTGTATTATTTTAGACCCTGCAGGAGATTTCAATTTCAGTTTTTTGCATATTTATAAGTACAGTGGCTTGGTTTTCCCACAAAGCCTTTCAGTGAAGCATCGAAGCATCGGTGGGGACACGAATAGAGGGAACAGAGCGCCTTAGGTTATTTGTTGGAAAGAAGCAGGTGCGCCAAGAACGGAAGCAGAATTAAGAAATCGTGTTTAAGTTCCATCTTTAGAAGGACGTTGTGTCCCTGTGTATACATTTTCAGCGCGCAAAACGAGATTTCGATTAGTAGATGATCCCAGGAACTGGAACATGCATCTCTCAAGTAACTCGTTTTGGCTGATGGCATTCACTGACGCAACACCCTGCGTTTCGCATTAAACCGGTGGTTTGATGCTGTGACTGCATTTTGTTTTTAGAATTATTCCAGGGGTTTTGCGTGATCGGAAAACGTGGTTAGCTAGTTGTTCTATGAATCAGCAATACTTCGTGACCTTGAGGGCGGTCCTTTCTCTGTCTCTGGTAGCCATTCGACAAAGTATAGAATTTTGCAGTAACTATGACGCAAGGAAGCATTGAACACAACGCAGTACACATACGGAGCTAACCTACCTTTGCCTCTTTTCACGGTGACTTTTATAGAGGCCTCCAATCACTATCACTTTGGCACCAAGCCTCGACTTCAATGAAACTTTTCGTGTCAAGCCGACAGAGGAAGACCGACTGGAAAGCACTGCCCCTATAGTTTTTCTGTCCTCGAATGGTTACGCTTATTGACTCTAGAATTCTGAACTGTGTGGTTCTGTTGTGAAGAGAAACCATCACAAATCAAACTCATCGCCAAGAAACCCAAGAGTTTGGCTACTGAAAACCGTTCACCCCCTATAACCGTTCTCCCGCAGATTGTGCAAAAACGTACGGGTTCATACAATGCAAAAAGAGTAATTCCGACGATAATTTTCCTAACTGTACGCTTGATCTGGTAGAAAATCCCTGTACACACCAAAATGAGTATTTGCACAGCCAAATCAACCGGATGAATAAGACTTGAACAATCATTTAGCTACCCGGGCTGCAGTCATCCTTGAGCGCCCATCTCCTAATTTCTTATCTTTACACCTCTTCCACTTAATTGCAGGTAATAGATTTCATTTTCAAATCCCTTTTAAGAACTTTGTTTTCACCATGTGTGCGTGCGCTCATTTTCAAGTTGATTCACATTTTTGTCTTTTCTAAATCAGTTTGAACGCTGCTGAATTATGCAACTAATAATAGCAAAAATTTTCAGAAACGTCAAACTACTGATGAACTACTCATGATATTTACTTTAAGTGCCTTCACGCGTTACGTGGCCCAGTGGGGGGATCTTACGTGAAGTGTACTTGTTTAAGACTTCGAGAGGGTTGAAATGTTGCTGGAGTTGTTGAAGTGCTGTCGACATTGCAGTAGAATCCGTTCGTCTCCCTCCATCAAGCACTGAATAATGATCAGTAGTATATTCTATGGCTGTCCATAAGGTAGCATATATTTGAAGTTTAAAATAATACCATATGATGAAATGAAGAGTTGATGTCGGATACTGAGTTGAAGATGGGAGCATGAATAAACCGACAGAGTGGACTAAACTGGTCCAAAAATCCACAAGTGAAGGATTACTCGTTTCAGGGAAGCTTGGAAAAACCATCGATCGATTCATTTTTTTGCCAAACCACTCAGTCCCAGACATTTTCTAGTTGATGAAGAATCACCGTTCAAAGTACTCCACGACCATTGGATATCAGCAGACCTAGGCATGATGGCAATACACCGAGCGTGATCTTAGTTTTTCTCCACTCCAAGACGCTGGCATCTCTTGTCAGTTCATCCAATGTTCAGTATTAACTTACCATGAAAACTCTTCTTGGTGGTCGTCCATTACCTGGCCATTGAGTTGGGAATGGATAGCCGGGTGACAAATCAACTCATAATATCAGCTTGTGGTACGTCAGCAAGAATGGCCGAATGTTGATTAGAAACTGGAGAAAAGAATTCGATTGATGGACGGTTTAGGTTGGATACACCGGTGACAAGCGAGTCCGATTCTACTTAGCGATGTGCATTCACACTTTGGACAGATCCAAATGGATAAAAACGTCGCTTGCGTATCTCATATATTTCAGGAACCACCAGCAATATGTCAATCTACGGGCCAAAAAGCTGGTCAGTGCTTTCCCTCGGTAGAGTCCCCCACGATTAGTGACCCCCTCCTTGCAGGGTCACTCATCAGCTACTAGCTAGCCCGTGATCTTCCTACAGGAACGTTGGATTGGATAAACGTCTCACTTTTACAATGGTTACTGAAAAACCCCGCAGATGTATTGTCTTCATTCGGGATAGTTTTTGCATGATTACGCGGCCAGGTGGTTAAAATTTTGAATGTTAAGAAAAGAGGTGCCCTTCATCCGGCTTCGCATATAAAATGCTCTTCGATACGCCCTGAATATTTATGGGCATTGATGTTTCAGTTAGTTAGCCTTTATTTTTTCTGTGCTCCACGTTGCTGATTGTGTGAGGTTCACAGTTAATCATTCATTCTCCGAAATTAATTTGTCTACACCAACTCCAACGGGAATTAATTATTTCCTATCACGCCTTCGTCCGAGACAGTCGGCTGCTTTCCCGCATTGTATTATTTTAGACCCTGCAGGAGATTTCAATTTCAGTTTTTTGCATATTTATAAGTACAGTGGCTTGGTTTTCCCACAAAGCCTTTCAGTGAAGCATCGAAGCATCGGTGGGGACACGAATAGAGGGAACAGAGCGCCTTAGGTTATTTGTTGGAAAGAAGCAGGTACGCCAAGAACGGAAGCAGAATTAAGAAATCGTGTTTAAGTTCCATCTTTAGAAGGACGTTGTGTCCCTGTGTATACATTTTCAGCGCGCAAAACGAGATTTCGATTAGTAGATGATCCCAGGAACTGGAACATGCATCTCTCAAGTAACTCGTTTTGGCTGATGGCATTCACTGACGCAACACCCTGCGTTTCGCATTAAACCGGTGGTTTGATGCTGTGACTGCATTTTGTTTTTAGAATTATTCCAGGGGTTTTGCGTGATCGGAAAACGTGGTTAGCTAGTTGTTCTATGAATCAGCAATACTTCGTGACCTTGAGGGCGGTCCTTTCTCTGTCTCTGGTAGCCATTCGACAAAGTATAGAATTTTGCAGTAACTATGACGCAAGGAAGCATTGAACACAACGCAGTACACATACGGAGCTAACCTACCTTTGCCTCTTTTCACGGTGACTTTTATAGAGGCCTCCAATCACTATCACTTTGGCACCAAGCCTCGACTTCAATGAAACTTTTCGTGTCAAGCCGACAGAGGAAGACCGACTGGAAAGCACTGCCCCTATAGTTTTTCTGTCCTCGAATGGTTACGCTTATTGACTCTAGAATTCTGAACTGTGTGGTTCTGTTGTGAAGAGAAACCATCACAAATCAAACTCATCGCCAAGAAACCCAAGAGTTTGGCTACTGAAAACCGTTCACCCCCTATAACCGTTCTCCCGCAGATTGTGCAAAAACGTACGGGTTCATACAATGCAAAAAGAGTAATTCCGACGATAATTTTCCTAACTGTACGCTTGATCTGGTAGAAAATCCCTGTACACACCAAAATGAGTATTTGCACAGCCAAATCAACCGGATGAATAAGACTTGAACAATCATTTAGCTACCCGGGCTGCAGTCATCCTTGAGCGCCCATCTCCTAATTTCTTATCTTTACACCTCTTCCACTTAATTGCAGGTAATAGATTTCATTTTCAAATCCCTTTTAAGAACTTTGTTTTCACCATGTGTGCGTGCGCTCATTTTCAAGTTGATTCACATTTTTGTCTTTTCTAAATCAGTTTGAACGCTGCTGAATTATGCAACTAATAATAGCAAAAATTTTCAGAAACGTCAAACTACTGATGAACTACTCATGATATTTACTTTAAGTGCCTTCACGCGTTACGTGGCCCAGTGGGGGGATCTTACGTGAAGTGTACTTGTTTAAGACTTCGAGAGGGTTGAAATGTTGCTGGAGTTGTTGAAGTGCTGTCGACATTGCAGTAGAATCCGTTCGTCTCCCTCCATCAAGCACTGAATAATGATCAGTAGTATATTCTATGGCTGTCCATAAGGTAGCATATATTTGAAGTTTAAAATAATACCATATGATGAAATGAAGAGTTGATGTCGGATACTGAGTTGAAGATGGGAGCATGAATAAACCGACAGAGTGGACTAAACTGGTCCAAAAATCCACAAGGTGAGTGGATGGAACGGTTAACGTCATGTCATAAACACAGCTTTGGTCGATGTCATGCAACACTGCTTGAAAGATCTGGCAATTTTTCAGTTTTCCTACGAATACTGCAAAACCAAATTATCTGGACGATTAGGTTATCTGGACGTTAAGTAATCGGTGCCGCAGTCGAGATTTGCTTCGTGCTACTGGGTTGAGTTTTCTTTTAGAACTTGTCATAAAGTAGAAAATATGAAGCGCATGAGATAAACGAGATACTACAGAACTTATCACCAAGGTCAACTTATTTGCTTGTTACAGGCCTCCATTCCTTTTCTCGTTTCTAGACAGACCACCAAAAAAGTACGGATCTGACAAAAAGTGTTGTTGCTGATGATGCCAGAAAAGTGTGAGGTTTGTTTTGACTGAACTTGTTTCTGGTGAAGAAGATAGGCACGGAGAACTTTCTGTGACAAAATCTCTTCATACACTTTGAAATAAACATTCACCGACAGTCGGATAAGGCTTTCCCTTGTGATGAAAAGATAGCCGTAGCTCGTTCTGTTATAGTCAGAGACAGAAAAGTGACATATAGGGAGTAACCTCACTACGCAGCAGGCCACCACAAGAAACTAAACTGTTCTTACCCTGAAGAAATCAACATAAACCGTACATCCCACTGGTGCCATTGGGAAAGTGCCCATTGATGTGCTTTCTTTCTCTGATCAAAGAGCAAAAGACTTTCTTCGTTTGATTTGGAATCAATAAGAGCGGCGCTGCTGTAAATGGGACATTACGAAGCAACCTCGTTTTCGCCGTTAGGTTGAACTTTCCTGGATAATTGTGCCATCTTATGATACATTATGAACAGCAATGCACATTTTTTGAGGGTTTATGCAGCGTCGTTATTCCCCTCTGACGTACATCATACTACACTCATTGTACTATATGACTTCGGATTCCTGTCAGACCGACATCTTCGTCAACTAAACCGCCATCACTCTATAGACCCCCATAAAGTGCGTGATGGTTAGTGAGTTTTTATACTACTTGATCATGCCTCAGAACATGAATTTTGAATTTTTGCGTGCAGATCAGCTTAAAACAGGGTCTTCTGAAGGAAGGTGAATCGTCTCTAGTAAGGCGCTGTCTTGGGTCGTGTTGCATGGGCCAACCACTAAATTAATTTTGCCATACTCTGTCGAGCGGCGGCTTTTAGAGGAAAATACTTTGCACGTAAAACAGCGCTTCAAGTCGCCTTAGTAATTTGGGTGATAACTTGTCACAATTTTCTGTTCCGTTGTTTGCATTTGACGAGGAAAAAACGGTCGTTCTTCCTATCTGTTGTATCTTGATGGACGATCGTGCAACTCTTTATCGCTCCCTTGTCTTCCTGCTCCACCCACTATGGTATATCAAAAAGCACGGTAACTACACACAGTTCCTTATGGAGACAGGAAAATTATTACAACTGTATTTATAGGGTAGTCACAGAGTGCTCCACAAGGTCGTGCCAGAATCTCCGTGAGGGGGCGAGAAGCGTCGAGTCAAAGGTGCTTGACTCGGATTGGCTGGCATTCTGACCAATCAGGGTATGCCCTCGTTTGGCCCGTGTCCTGCACGTGACACATCCGTCCAAATGATGTTTAGGGACGGCTGGCCTCCGTACACTATCTCCTATAGGCTAGTTGCCTTTTGTATACTTTCTAGCCACCTCATTACCATCGACCGTTTATTTTTGCAGGGTGATAAACCAACGTCGAAGCTTCATGATCGACAGTACAGAAGATGAAAGCAACTCAATGACCTACGAGGACTTTATGCAAAGTGCACTGTTAGTGTTTATCGGCAAGCCAACAGATGCAACTAGCAATGTGCGCAACTAACGAGTACTTCGTTTGCAAATTTGTGTCTACAATCTTTCCGGCGCCCTAGATCATGTGATACACTTTTTCCCGCGTTTTTTTTGACGGAAATGTGCACCATTTGTTCTATAAATGATATTTCAGACGAAATGCTTTACCTTTGTTGGACGGGTTTGGATGACTCTGTTTTAGCTTGCTTGTGTGTTCGTGTGTTTATATTTCATGAACCACAGAATCCGAGTTGTATCTTACTACGGCGGCCAGTTCATCTTCATGAACGAATTTTGCCTCTTCATCAGGTAT